AGTACGGACAGCACGGCGACGAACAGCAGCGCCATCACGGCGCGTCTGCCGGTGCAGATGCGTCGGGCGGCCAGCGGGTAGCAGACGGCTATGAAGCGTTCGGCCGTGATCACCACCAACATCCAGACCGATGCGCACTGGGACATCATCGACAGCGGGTACAGCGACACGATCAGGTAGTTGAGGATAATGACCACGTGCTGTGGTGGCTGGTCGGCGTACAACGCCAGCAGCGAATAGACAGGCGTCGCCGACACCACCAGCACCGTATCGGCGACCGCAAGGCCGATGATCAAGATGTTCATCGAAGAAGCGGGGTAGGTGCGCGAGAAGACGTAAATGATGAATGAATTGCTGAACAGGCCAATAGTGCCGACGATGATCATCAGTATGCTACAGACCAGGCTGGACACGACGAACGACGGGTTGTCGTGGTCGTAGGCCACCACAGGGTACACCGTGCTGCTGTTCACCGCCAGAATATCGTAGACTTTGACTGCGAGTGATCGAATCGCATCTGACGCATTTTCCATGCCTTTCGTGTCGTTGTCCTGCAACAGATTCAGTTGAACATTTCAAATAATAAACCGCATTTAATTCTCCTTCATCATAACTACTTCACGAAATGCGACATCATCATAATACAGTAATACCCTGACTTCTCGACTTACGTCGTCTGTGTATTTTAAATAATGAAGTAAGAAAAATTTTAATTCAAATGGTGCATTTATTTGGCAACGCTGCGCGATGGACGAGTACACCCGAATGTGCCGTGGCATTCCAAGTCCAAGTCTCTCTCAGTGGGTCGTCAGTATGCAGTGTGCAGTTTGTTCTGTCGCAACGTCACGCCATTATGAACTTCGTGGAATGGGACGATTCGGATATACGTTGAACCAGTAGATGAAACCGAAATATTGCAAATCCACAAATTTGACAGTTGATTCTTATTGTGCCATCGGTGATCTTTTCATTGATAACCTAACTGCAGGACATAATAACCAACTTAGCAAAGCGAGATTACGCAAAATTAATGAACTCCTCCGTCATAAAGCGAGCCTTTGATTCTCGAAATTCACTAGTAGACAAACTTAGTATTGTGCCCACTGAATGCTATTCAGAAATATGTTATTAATAAATATCTCCTGATACGTACAGTGAAACTCGCGACCGCGCAATCCGCGTTAAAATAATAAATTGTCACATTTTAAAAAAAATGAAATCATAAAATAAATAAAAATTGAAAATTTCAGTAGTTTGACAGGTTGGGCACTGCGCTTTCGACAAGCTTCTCACTGACATGTAATCCAGTGAACTGGATGCAACGGTTGATCGAGATGACCACAGTCCATTTATACACGCCACAGGACTGCAGCCTGACAACGACCATCGAATCGTCATGTCGATGAAACGGGGCTGATCTTGGAAAAGATGCCTAGAAGACGTCGAGAAGCTCACGAGGAAAATCTTTTCCCGGATTCAAAGCGGCAAAAAGTCGCGTCACCGAGATGCTTGGTGGTAATACTGTAGGTGATTGCAAACCGAAGCTACTTCTGATCTACTGGTCGCAGAATTCGAGAACTCTGAAGAATCAATCCAAAGCTGGGGAATCTACCTTTCAAGAGATTCTGATTTACCGTAGTGCTTTCGGGCACCCTCCAGTAATTGTGCGACGGGCTGTGATCCTGGAGTGGATATGGTGTTTTTTCCTCCAAATGTAATAAGTTTGATTCGCTGTAATCAATACATTTAAGGTTTACCATACCCGACGATCTATTACCGTTTCTAATGCAGATATGATAGATAATAAAGAGATGACTGTGAGGGAATTCTGAAAGGCCTTTGATGATTTGGATGCAGTGAAAATCATAGGGGGTGAAAATTGCGGAAGAAGCATGAGCGATGTATGAAAACGTTTTGTCAGTTCATATTCAGTCCAAACTTGAGCATTTCTCCAGAAACGGATCACGTTGCTGAAGCCACATAAGAAGTGACCTTCTTGCTTCACTACCTCATTTGGAGGTTGAGGGCGAAGATAAAACTATTGGACTCCCAGAGCGATGATACAGAAGTTCGTAGCCAAAATGCTTACAAGTCAGCTGAAGGGACTGAACCGGAATGGTTCATCATAATGGCAATAGGAAAGTTAACTGGATGCCTTGAACCGATTGAGGCATGTCTCAAGGTTCTAGAAGAAATTGATTCTAATAAAGACTGATCAGCAACTGCTGGACAAGGTACAAAGAAGGCGATTGCCTGTTAAAAAAATATTTTAAGAGAGAAATAATCCTTATCTCTTCAGGCTTCACGTTGGACATCTCAAACCTCTCTTCCTCTAACTAAAAACTGTTGGATATTCATTTTATTTTACATAAAGCATATTTTTGCAATAGCGACGTTATGAATCGCTCTCAATTATTACCGTTTTGCTGATCGAGCTGGCTGTAAAGAGTCAATTATGTCGCTTTATTATGGAGTTGTATCAACTTTGGCAACTCGAATGACATCGTCGACTGCGCAACCATCCCACTTATGATGTAACTTCGGGGTACTGCGGTACATAAACGTTCTAATAACATTACAACCTCATCGAGTACGTCTGCAAATTACTGTATCGCTGCGGGAAATATTACAAGGCAGTAACAGGGAGTACATGGCGTCACCCGAGGATCATC